TTACATTTTAAAATGTATTCAAATAGAAAACAATTATTTTAAATTATAATAATATTTTAGAATATTACTGTTTTTACTGTATTTTTTGGTCAAATACATGCAGCCTGGCTGAGCATGACTGTCTTCTTTCCAAAACAACAACAACTTTTGAATGGTAGTGTACAGTATGTTGCATGCAAATAAATGTCTGTTTTGTCCGATTGCAGCAACTTTTGAATGGTTGTCAATGAAGAAAAAGCTTTTTGCTCTCAGAATATTTTTTAGCACAGCACATTACAGAAATAATGTCCATACACCCAACCAAAAGTTTCCAACTGTGCCTTGTTTCCCCCCCCCCCACTTTATTTCATTATCATTGTACATGCCCTCTTTATTCGCTTGAAAATGGAGTTTAAGAGTCATCAGGAGGAGTCATAATATCCATCAAACATTTGGGCAGAAAATCAGTAAAAATCACAACATGGCCATGAAGGCTGTGAAAGCGGTTTTGTTTAAGTGACAGCTCCAGTCATCACGTAACGCCGGGCTTCATGACATTCCATTACAGCTTGATTCAGTATTCGTCATGCGCCTTTGTTCTGCGTTTCAAAATTGTGAGGTTCATTATTGGCCTTGTCTGGGATCCCAAATTATTTCTGGAATTGGCTGATCCTGTGTTCGCCATGTGAATGCTTTCTAAACAGGCAGTTATTCGAAGTGGTCCTGCCCCCCTCCTCTTGTCATTCAGGCTACAAGAGGTTTGGAAAGAGATACTGGCTGACAAAGCAATAATAGATCATTCACATCACAAGAGAGCTTGAACGTCCCTTGCAATCACACAGGAAGAAAATTCAATTTGGTTACCTTAAGAAACTTCAGCATTTGTTTTCTATCTGTTTGGTGCGATTTGTTTGCAAAGAAACTGGATCCTGTTCTACGTGTTGCATGTTAACTAAGGTCGCTGCCGGCTATTGCAAGATAAATAGACATTTATTTATGCACCGATTTTATTTGGGGATCAGTCAGGCAGTTTAGTGAGAGCCACTGAATTGTTTTAATTGCTCAAGTGCCTAATATATGCAAAGTGATTCATTAGTGTATGCTGTTTTTAGCCAGTCTTTTCACAATAATTAATTTGATTAGAAAATTAGCATTGCGGATTCTCATTATTTATGTATGACGATGCTTTGCATTTTACTTTGAACTTTTATTCCGTCTTTAAAACCTAGACCTAGGGATATTCAATGATTTGACAACTTGCATAAGGGGTGCTTAGTCTGATCTGTGTTTTGTTTTCACAGGGACCAAAATTAACACTAACTTAGTTTTTAAAAAAGGTAAATTGGCTTTGCAAGTAAAAAATGCTAAAACAAAAATAAAAATAAAAAATATATAATTTTTATTTTTAAATACTTATATTTAAATATATTTTTGTATACTAATTATTTTTAAATAATTATAACAGAATGAAATTCCCTTCATGTCTTGTTATAGGTGTAGATAAGAGTTCATTTGCAAAAACCGATAACTCTTACCGATAACGTTTTTTTTATTGCGCATTCCGAGTAATATCAATCAAACTACAAGTGGGTTGTTTTGATTAAGTAATAATAACTTAAACAAATACAGGTAATTAAAAAAAATAAAAAATTTGAAAGTATGTATTTTTAACATATTAAAAGTTTTTTTTTTATAGCGATAGCAGATAACTCCAACAATCGTTTTTTGGCAAAAGCAGATAACTCCACATTTCATGTTTTAGAGTTTAAAAAAACACTCGTATAATCTTTGTAATCTCCTCAGATGGCAATGTAGATGCCTGACAAACGTTGTTGTTGTTGTGATCATAAACTGTATGGATGTGATTAAACGCAATACACGGAGCTTTTCCCTCACCATTGTAACGTGCTGCTTTTGCAAGGTTCCGTGAAAACGTTTCCGCTTTTATTTAGCTTTTTCGCCCTGA